CTCCAGCTCAACGCTTGACGAAACTTAATAAGGAACGTTTTTAGATTGAATGTTACGGGCTCGACATCGACAGGCTATTCTTTCGCTGGTACCTACAATGTACCTAATTCGGGCATTCTTAATCGCTTGACGCTACCAGTAGAAATTTCTACAGGATATTTTCTATTGAAGTTAGACGTCAAGAATAGCTTTTATCGCTTTGACTTACCGAAAAAAAAAACGTATGCGTGTTTTTGTCTTGGAGAAGTTGTGCATCTAATTCGTTAGTCGCTATTGCCATATCGCAGAGCCGCCTTTAGTTGATTAACTTGCGTTCTACTATTTTAATATACAAACCTCGTATGAAACGTGTAGCAGAGCCAAGTAGCGCTTCTTAACAGAGGAAGTCTTGGACTCAAAGAGTCTCTTAGTTATAACAAACTAACAACGACGTACAGTCGCTCAAGCACACAAGCTTGGCAATACCGGTTCCAAAGGGATTGCGATTCACAGAATCACACACTAACTAGTCACTACTAGCTAAACAAGAGCAAACGTCTTCAACAGCTGACACTCTTGCAACACGCTATGCCTTGACTAGGTTCTAGCGTCCAACAATTTAAAAGGTGAACTGACCTCTATTTATTCTGTAGCTACAGTAATAAAACCCTAAAACCTTGCCTGAATGACTTCTACATACGATCTTATGACAGAAGTCTATTTATTATCCTACTCGATAAGGTTCAATATTGTCGCTAGTACGCGATACCAAGACTGTACCACTCGGATCCACCAATATTTCATTAGTGTGGACACACAAAAAAACCAGTTCAGTAACCACGTGTAACCCGTTACACCCTCCCCCACCAAATTTTGTCAACACCCTTAAGTCGACATTTCCTCTACTTCGCTTTAAAGTCCGTCGAAGCTCTGGTCCTTGACCATCGTGTTCACAACACATCTTAAAATGACTGAGTCAAAGCCTTCGTCCAACACCCTGGAAGAATTCCCCGATGAGGGTATGGTATACTACGATAGTAACACCGCTGCCTCGAGCATCTACGACCATCCTCCATCCACGCCACCGGCGCGTGACAACACCCGCATTGCGCGGAATCCATTTGTGGAACAAGAGGAGGTACCTTCTCCTATTGCACAGCGTGCAGTCGTCGACCCTGCGTCAGGTATGTTGCACAACACTCTCGATGAATTTAAAGAACGATATTTTCAGTGGGTCGACGACCGCAGGCACCAAGCACAAATTGTAGCCACAGCAAATGCTCACAGTGGCTACCGCTTTACTCCACCAACTGTGGATGAGCGTATTTGTCAGACTGCCGGGTAGTCACTCGCAACATGGATCACTGGACCTTGGGCTGTCATAGTCACAGCAATATCGGAGAGGGAGGCTCTCAGAGCGAGATACATGAGATTGAGCGTATGAACGCTCAAGAATACGTCGACAGGCTGAATCTGCAAGCACTTGGTGTGTCAGTGTCCGCCATGCGGACAATACCCGTCGTTCTATTTCCTGGTGAGACAGAATATGACAGTGATTTTATCTCTAAGCGTTTGACTCACAGAGAACGTCGTCTGTCAAGCTTATGAAGACTCCAAGATAGCGCTTCACTTGCCGACGTTTGGCTGAAACGGAATATGCGCTCCGATTTTGCCAAATAAAAGGCCGAAGGCCAAGTGCGATCGTTTAATCGCACACGCAATGCTGCGGCAGTCACGGACCCGCGCCTCAGTGCCCCTGCACCTACTGCAGCTGCAACCTCCTCCACTCACACACCAACTAGTGGGAATCGGTGTGGGTCGACTGACTCTAAAGACGACGTTTAAAAACGTCAACAGCGTACGGAAAATTCTGCCACAGTGGCACTTCGTACTCTTATGAGTTCTCCAACTTCGGGTACCCCCTTTACTGTACCAAGTACTGATACTGAACGTCGCGAAAACGTATCTGCATGATTCATTTAACATGTTACTGTTGATCCACTTGCACTTTAACGAGAGCAGATGGTGGTCAGTAAATCTTGACGCGTCGTCGACGAGTTAGTGCATGATGTGCATGGTCTGCGTGACCGACTGGCACATCTTGAAGGACGATGGATTTTCACTTGAGTGTTTTTCGACTTGTGACATCTCCAACTCCTTGGGCGCAAGCTCCTCGTGAAGCACCAGCGACGGATCAAGATAAGGCTTAAGCAAGTCGACGTAAGACACTGGCTGTGTTCGCATCTTGAGTGGGAGGTTGAACGTATACGCTAAGCCTTCTTGGCCATAACCTTAAACGTCCCACTGAAGCAAGGAAGCAACTTGGTCCTACAGACATGCTCATTGTGAGCGATCGTTCACACCTACATTAACAATTTAATGTTCAAAGCTGTATTGACAGCATCAAGATAATGATCAAATGGCGTTATATCGTCTAAACTTCGCACTGCAGATTTTGCTGAAAGCACATTCGTACTTCTGCTACTTAAAGATAGGTCCCTTAAGTGTGCCCTAGTTGTTCACACTGTCAAAATTGCTCAGTTTTAGAATCTTTATATATGTGTATAAAGGAATAGGATGCGGTGTGTGTAGCCTTTTGGGCGCCTGCACGTCCTTACTAGCAGAGGAGCACGGATGGCATCATCTGAAGAAGAGATACACAATCGTATATGATCCATTTTTGATCTTCTTCAGCATTAGAATACCTCTCCTAAAGTCATCCTCACACAGTATCCTAATCGACAAAATGTTATCTGACTGTTTTGCCATAAGCCCACGTGATGGAAAGTTAGACCGGCCATTGATGTTGGTCAGACTTTCTGCTGTCAACAGCCGTCGTAATCTAATAAATGCATGACTATAAGGGTCGCCCATAATGCGTTTAAATACAATCATTCATTTAATGAATAAGGTGAAAGCTCATAATCGAAATTGAAGGTTCATCAGCCACTACCTATAATAAAACGGGATAATTGCAAAAAGTGACAGGATTTAAAAGTACACCAGAATGTAATCAGATATTTTTAAATCGAGATATTCTAGTTTATCACACAGCCGTAGACTTCGTTAGTGACAATTACATACAGATTAACACTCTTAAGGCGAACCATAGTACCGATGAAACATAGGATCAATAGATCGATGTTGCAAGAGGAAAGGACGTACGCACTTCTAGTGGAGTAGTGCATGCTTCAATGTTCTGTGCTGGTAATTGTTGGTTTCATTCCGATGTGGGTGTTGCCAAAGATATCTCGTGGCAGCTTGAGGCAATAGACACGTACATTACTTGTTCGAAGCAGGATGTAATCTAGAGTCTGGTGCAGCTTGGTCCATTCCAGATTAATAGTAGGGTGTGTTATTTGCTTCAAAACGGTTCATCGCTGGTTGTAGAATGTGCCACTCTAACAGTTATGAACAGAGTTCGCTTCAAAAAAGTCAAACTGGTTGACCCCTAGGTCAACACATTTTACAGAGATTACGCGGAAGCGCTCAGTCCAGTACTCGCTACATTCTACACCAGATGGCTTACGTGCAGCGTGTTCCCGTCTTCCTTCGGTGAAGCGAACATTCAGTGTTTGAAGAAATCTGCGTCCTCCGCCTTGCCGCTCGATCATCGCCCGATTGCTCTCCTCAACAGCGACTACAAGTTATTTACCAAGATTCTTTCGTTTCGGGTACGGCCATTATTGTCGCATCTCGTTTTGCCGGCTCAAGTTGGTTTTGTTCCAAAGAGGTCGATCCATACAGCTCTTGACATTTTCGCGACGGTACGCAAAGCTGCGACTTTGGACAGCAGCCTACATGGAGCCATTGTGCTACTTCTCGATTTTGCCAAGGCTTACGACACGTTGCAACGTCCATATCTGCTTTCTGCTCTGACATGGCTTGGGTTTTCGCCTCATTTCGTATCAGTCGTGGCAGCATTACACCACGACACTACCTGCCGATTCCTTGTGAATGGATACCGCTCTCGTCGACGTGATGTTACTTGTGGAATACGGCAAGGATGTCCCCTTGCGCCACTTCTCTTTATTTTAGCCCTCGATAGTGTCTATCGGGTGCTACAAGCGAGGGAGGACATTCGGGGGGGGGGGGTGCCTATCTCCACTGGAGGGCGGGCTACAGAGTTCAAAGTATCGGGATACGCTGACGATACTGCTGTCTACCTTCGCGATCGGTCCTCGGTTACGCCTGTTGTAGCTATTCTAGAAGAATTTGCTCATGTGTCGGGTCTCCGGACGAATCGGTCGAAATCAATGATCATTGAGCTGGACCCTCGCGGATCAGAGCAACCTTTTAGCACCTGTGGTCTCACTCTGCAGGCCCCTAGTGACTCTTGCAGGTATCTTGGTGTATTGGTGGGACAACAGGACGCGGTGGCCGATAACTGGAATAAGTGCATACGTTCTATATGGAGCCGACTTGTCTTAGCCCGCGAGAAGACGCACACAGTGGAACAACGTGCTCTGCTAGCAAGTGCTATCGCGGTGCCCAAAATTAGCTTCTTAGCACGGCACTGTTGGCCTCCTCCCGCAGTGGTTACCCGGTTGCACAGCTTAATAATGGACTTTGTATGGGGTGTCCGAGATAGAAAGCGATCCAGACCCTGGGTATCTTCCGAGATAGCGGCCTTACCTATCCAGCAGGGAGGACTAGCGGTTCCCTGTATTCGGACGGAATTGATGACGATGGCGGCAACAGCAGTTGGACAATGGGCTGCTACTGTCTCTTCGAGAGACTTACTAATTGGTGACTTCTTATGGGGATCTACCGGGTCGGGTACGGCTTACATTACGCCTTTTTGGACGGAAGACAAGCTCCCTCGATATCGCGCAACGCTTTGGCTAACCGGGTCTGAAATTGTTGGACTTTCTTCGGCTCAACATGCACGCCAAGGTGCGGTCAGCGAGGTCTGTAGACGAGCCTTGTCGTTTACGTCGAGAGCAGCAGTCGCCTATAATGAAGACGGTAGTGTCACAATTGATGTTCGGCGGGTTATTGATGACAGATTGCGCGTTGGGATGCGAGCTGATGTAGCAGTATCAGGGCGATTTGACCACCGGTGGCTGGCATACGCCACGCTTAAGGATATGTCGTGGCTCAGAGATCGACAGGGTAAGGCATACAGCTTGAACGGGGCCGACTTTGCGCGAAACTTGAATTACCTTGGCGAGACAATGACGTGGACGACCCTGCAGAGTGGCATGGTCTTGTTCTCTCCTACGCGTGACATGGCGTCCCAGTCTATGGCAAAGCGACGGCATTTTGGGTCCTTCTGCCTCGCGCTGCTTTACAATTTCCCGTCACTGGTATATCGACCACTGGAGCCTGGGTCTGTGATTGCATACTCTACAAAGGTGCACCAGTTCCATGACTGGCTTCTATCTGGTGACGGTAAGTCGCTCAGACATTTCGATACGGGCATGGAATGTGGAGTGCAACCGGTCGCGTCGATGGCGGCATGCGATATAGCCGCGTCAACAGCTAGTAAGTCTCCTGTTCACTTTGGAGCGCATCCGGCGCTTACTCGCGTTGTCCACATGTGGGCTGGACGACGAAGGTGGCGGCCGCAACGACGTAAACTGAAACAGATTATCACCCGGCGGCGCCGTGCTGTAGGGACTAGACTTCTTGATAAACGTGTGGCAACGACGGACTTTCACGTGATCTCGGAAGGTACAACATTGATTACTTGGAGGGACATTCGACGAATACGAGCGTCCTTTCCGACAAACGCTCAGACGCTGTATAGGCTAAAGAGTAACAGTTTTCCGCTCTGGAATTGGGCGAAGCAAGATCTGTCTTGCCCGGTCCCTGAGTGTGCGAATGCTGGTCCAGCTCTGGCAAGCCATATCTTTTGGACATGCTCTAGTGCGCGTCGTCGCTGGGAGTTTCTCCTTGATCGGTGGCGATGGCTTGGAACCTTCCAGGAGGCTGAATTGAATGTTTGGGTGTTTGGCCTGGACCTCCCGGCGATTCCACCCTACGCCTGGGATGTAATTAAGCAATCCATGTACCCAGGCACTAATTTATCAAAAGCTCAGGCTGCTATATTTCCGGCAGCTAGAGAGCTGTGGCGTTTTGTCGTATCAACGACCCTCCATGCAATCTGGGTCGAGCGCCTCCGCCGCATGGAAGACTCGTCGTTATCACAGGAGGTGCACATAGCCAGCGCCAAGACGAGCTTTCGTCGGTCGGTCAGACGGTTTCGGCGATCAACCTATCAGCCCAAGATGGGGGAAGATGGGCAACTGTTTGCGCAGGTACGGTCGGCCTTGGCTGATACCCTACTCTGCTACGATGAACCTCCTTCGTTACTAGTCCGGCCTATCGACCGGCTCCCTGGCGAGCTTTACCTCCTCTTCTTTGACGGCGGGTCCCGCGGAAATCCAGGTCCAGGTGGAGCCGGGTCTGTGATTGTACGACTACACGTTCCGACTCACGCCGCATGCGTTCTGTGGGTATCAAGTATGGCTTATGCATCTGCCGATACCACTAACAATGTCGCTGAATATTGGGGGCTCGTGCATGGTCTTCGGCAAGCAAAGACAGGCGACTACTCACCCCTGCACGTCATTGGGGACAGTGCGCTTGTACTTTCTCAACTCCGAACACAACACCCTCCACGCAAGCCGCACTTGGTGCGTTTATTCAACGAAGCACGTGCCATCGCTAACGATATTGATGTCGCCAGCTGGGGACATCAATACCGCACCTTCAACAAAATGGCGGATCGACTGGCAAATATCGCTATGGACACGGGATCTTCTATACAAACGCACGCTATCTCGAACCCAGGTCTGGTCCAGGAGGCTTCAAACTTCCTTGACACTGATGTCAATCATTGGTTGGAGACCTCTCAAGCCGACCATCAACTCGTCATACAGGGCCCCGGGCTGACCTCGAGGAACCTGATTATCTCGAGACAGGAGTCTGCGCGTAGGCGCTCTGCTGTGCGAGGACTAGCGCTGCCTAGTATATAAAGTAGCGGTCGATTAGGTAACTTTGTTGCCGGATGACAGGATATAGCAGGTCGTACGCGTACCTAAATATACCTCACCTTCTCACTCACTGACCCCTAGGTGCATACGTTATCGGTTGTCACGTCACAAAACCTTTGGTATAAAGATCTACAGAATCATATGTACATTGTATTATGATGAGAATGACATGAGTTTCGAACTCAGGCCTCAGAAAGGAGGTGGGTCGCATGTTGTGTCAACCAGTGCTACCACACTTCCCGCACTGGTACGTTCTACGCACCTCCTAGCCGGCTTCTTCTCCTCGTAATATAACGCGTCTTTTCTTGGTCTTCCCACCTGACGGACATGTTTTATTGGTACAACGGATTGGCTGTTGAAAATAAGATAATCCATGGGAATCAGCATAGCACCGATAGTCGTTTGATAAGTCGTGACTTGGTAGCACTGACCTGTTCATTGCGAGCCCGAAGGGTGAAGCTATTAGTGATTGTGCACAAGGTTGAATGCCGGACTTTAAATTGTACAATTCTATGTGTGTGTGTCCGTCTGTAAATACCGCGGTTTTGTGTAGCTTGCACGCGTTAAATGCGATCTATCCTGTCCCCACCATATAGGGAATAAAGGCACAAACTTAGTCACTCTTTGGCGCGGTCATTATAGTAATGCACACTTGTGATTGACATAAAACTAATCAAAGGTGAAAATGATCACATAAGCAAATGCTGGACACTCATGAGCAAAGGCTAATCGTGTTGTCCAAGAATAATGAACTGTGTCAATACAGACATCAATATCAGTGTCAGTTACTGCTGCTGTTGGTTAGTGTTTTGCAACTCGTTTCAGCTCTCCTAACTGGATTACTTATATTAAAGGACGAGAATTAGAGCTTGCTCCCCAATCCTTTTCATTTGTATGCCAATGCGTTCAATTCTTTTTGGTCACAGTAAACATAATAGATATCTGTACGGTGGGTTCCTTAAACTCTACGAAATCGCATCGTTATCAAAAAGAGTAGGGTTTCTGTAATTTATTATTCTCCTAATTAATAATATCCTTGCTATATAACAATGTAGAGTCCCATGTTGGGCCCAGGCCAAATAAAAACCTTAATTTTTATTATTAAAGCCTAGGAAATTTTCCGCCGTACAAATTGTAAACCACTGGCGGGGGCCCACTACAAAAAATTTATTTAGAGTTTGTTGCTTGAGAGATTTTTGCTGACTGACTTCCCACCTGATCCTGCATCTTCCGGATCATCTATGAGAACTCCACTCCAGTCTCCAGTTGCAAAAAGAAAGTCTTGAGCCCTGCAGGTATCAATGCAGCATCCGAAGAGGGACGAGCGGTGAGGCCACACTACCGTCTTCCTTGCGAACACGTGTAGCACCCTTCGCTTCAACCCTATCCTCCTTACTATTTTATTTAACAATTCCCCTATTTAATCTAAATTTGGCGGCCCCAAATATATTAAATAAGGGATACCTTGCTGTAGGTTTTTGTTTTTCAATGCACCACACATTTAAATAGCACCCGCTAAAAAGTTTGTAAAAGTGACTGAGCAGTGGGCAAAACCGTGGTAGTGCGATACTAACTGGCACGGAGTTTATCAATCAGAAAGTATCATTTTGGACAGGTTCTGTTAATGTTGCGTGCTTATTGCCTCACTATCTGCAGCCTTGTCTTCTTCTGGCTGCGATTCAGCCGTTCCCATTATTCCATCGCAACGTCCGCCGATGCCACGCCACACGTGCAAGGTATGAAGGACGAGTGGAACTATCAACTACTCGACGTGTTTGTTAAAGTCTATTATTATATACTAGCAACACAAAATAGCTGAAGGCTTCTTCATTAAAAAATAATTCTAATCGGACGAATTCAAAGACGAGTCGTCGTTCATGCCCACGTGCGTGCCCAAGTGTGTGCCCAAGTGTGTGCCCACGTGCGAGCCCACGTGCGTGCCCACGTCCGGGTAGTGGTGGTAGTAGTAGTAGATTTGGTGTTTGTACTCGCCTTCGCAGAATGGAAACTCGCCGTCCTCGTGCACTTCAGAGAAAAGAGCCTTGCCAGTCGTGAAGGTAACGTAGCACCCGAGGATGAAGCAGACCACTACGACGGTGATTGCAGCTACACTCTCGTACAACGGAATGCGGTCCCACGCCTTGATGAGGTAAAAGATGATCGGAAGTAGGATGCAGCTTATCGTGATACACGAGGCACCGACAATGTCGGCAAACTCGGTGAAATGGTCCTTGAAAATAATTGCGAGACCGACGAGAATAGCAATAATGACCATCCGGAGTGCAATGAAGTTGATGAGGTTGGCAGAGTACTCGGCAGCTTCAACGTCCTCAATCTCCTTATACAAACGTCTGGAGTCGATCACCGACAGGTGGGACGTCTTGGAACGGCAATTCGACTGGCAATTCGATTGGAGCTGCGACTGACGGTCCGAGGAGGCAGCATTAGCAAACAGCACATCGCCACTGGGTCCGTTCTCCTCGTAATCAAACTCACTGCCGATGTACTCAGGCACGCTCTTGTGCATGCCCAAGAACAACCGCTCGCAGATGTAGAAGGCTGGGTTCAGAATGACAGAAAACGCGATTGTCACGTGAAGTTGCATGAACAGGTAGGCGAGCACGACATACCCCCAGTCCGGTTCGAATCCAAGCGACGTCAAACCTGTATCACTGTCCGGGTAGATAGTGAAGAGCAGGTTGCCCGAGATCTGGCACCCCAAAGCTGAGTATGCCATGCTTGAGACCACGAGGAACAAAATCGAAGAAAAGGCAACTGTCACACCCACAACTCGAGGCATGCGTGCAGGATCGCTGTGTTGTCGTTGCAAGTCCGGAATGACGATCCCAGCACCGTAGGCAAGCGCGAGGTTGCCGAAGGCGCCCACGACTTGGGAGAATCGGAGGCCCGGAAAAGGCACACTTGGGTGTCCTCGCATCCCGTGCATCACGACTGCCACACCGATAAAGTCGGCGACGATCGTGCCCAGACAGCCAGCAAACGCGGCACCTGAGCCTTCCTTCAGCGTTGGCACGAGACATACCGGTAGAACCATGAGAGCCATGAAAACGATCCACGTTGTCTGATTGAATGCGTCTACGAAGAGCCCGTCAAGCAGATGACCGCCAAGCACGAGGAAATCGCACGGGATGAGGAGACAAGATACCATTTGAGTGATGATGCACAACCAGCGACCAGTAGCACCCATACTCCACTGGCCAAGGTCGCCAAAAGTCTTGACGGAGTTTGGGGCGAGCAGCATGACCTTGGACAAGACAACGGACGAGTAAATGTTGGCAAACGCCATGAACGCCATGGTGATGACGGCGATCGTTGGACCGGCGCGAGCAAAGTTGCCGGGCATGCCAAGCGTCCCGATGCCGTAGATGCAGCAGAAGAGGTTCAACGCTAACCTGCAGTCCTCGCCCGTGAAAAAATATTCTTCCTTGAACTTATTGAACATCGTCGTCGCAAACATCGACGTACCGAACATCGTGAAGGGCTGCCACACAAGAGGTTATGAACTAATGAATGAATGGGAACGAAGGCACTAGTGATGATGGCGGATACGGGAAAAGTAGGAATGAACAAAATGCCAACGTGGCTGGCGCTACGTTGCGACTCGTGTCGACGTTAATGCAGAAAAAAAGCGACTAGTCCACCACTTTCCGATCAGCTTGGTTCCCGGATGCGCGCGTAGCGCCCCTGCACGCATAGATTTGCAGTATAAACGGCTGCTTGGAAACTGTGCAAGAAGGTCCAAATGCATTGTTGCATTTGTATGTGATTCTTCAAGTGGTACTTGGACGTTGATCGATACGAAGTCCCTCGTCTCATATCTTTCGACTGAAGGGAAGCGCAGACGCTTCAATGTCTATAACTAGTATCGATGCGTTGCAAAATGGAGAGAGGCGACACCGGAATATGCTCTTGAGGAAAAGACACGTCGGCATTGAACCAAGAAGGGCGACATGAAGTTGAAGCTGCCGTGGGAAGCCGGTCAAGTCATCTTGGCCGAGGGCTGGTCTCCATTGAGACATGTGATGTTGACGATACATGATGCTGGTCGCAGTCCGAGTCTACTAACCCAGCTTATACCATGGCATGTAGCGCCAGCACTCTAAAACCACGATCACAACTACCTTTAGCGGATTGGTGCAAGTGGGAAAAACCTTAACGCACGTATCGTACGTAGCGCTTTTTTGTAGCTTAATTATACAATCGGCCGCGACAGGTTGGACCTGTTCGTGATAAGACCAGAGATTGTGATTTGGAGCTGGAAAAGCAGCAGGAACCAGAACAGCGATGTACCCAAAGTATCGAGGACAGCAGTAGTATACTTTTCAGGAGGAACAGACTGTCTCTTCAACGCTAGTAGTGTGTACAAGATGTCTGGAATGTCCAAGCCAGGTTCGCCTCGCCTATGTCAAATTATCCGGTAGTTGTGCGTGGCTCACCACATCATGTGATATTTCTATGTATTTAGTGTCGAGTACTAGATGGATTGTCCTATCGTTTCGCCTTTGACCTCCTTGTTGCTAAATGCGCTCTCTTGTCGATATTGCTCGTGATCGCCGATTCAAACACAGCTAACGTGTTCCTTTTAATAGATTCGTGGCTCTTGAAACGTTTCCTGTCTTGAGCTCACTTGTAGAGGTCACTATGTGATAATGAGTCGACACCGGTGACTATCAGCATTAGCCTGCACTTTAAAAACGAACAACTTGACGGTGAATCATTGCAGCAATGTACTAAATCTTGAGACTTTTGGCCCCTCTTGACTTGCATGGAGATAGAAAGAGGTAGACCAGTCTATCTAACCCATTGAAATTGCAGGATGTCCAATACTTCGTAAGCCTGGGTAGTTACGCTGATTCCTATTGCGAGTCAAGTGATTCAATGGAGCTTGTGGCTTTAGGTGGAGGCTCTCCGGGTTTCTGGCTCTTTTCTCGGCACAAAGCAGACGTGCTCCTTGTATGGATAGGTCGAACCTTCGGTACTCCGCTTTGCTTCAGCTCGTGGTCACGTCATGCCTGTCTCCCATACTTCATTCTATCTGCCGACGTAAGTTACATCACATCCGCATGTAGAAACGTTGCTTATTGCGCTATAAGCACATGATGGTGATACAAACGCTGCTCAGTATACGTCACGCCTATACTTTTGCACACTCTTGTACTTTGCCGGAATGATCTCGCAGTTCATGTTTTGTGGCTACCTTGGATAGCTCCGGTGCGTGTCTGCTTGCACTTTATGTAGAAAGTATTGCACGTGGTTTAACGCCTAGCACTCTCCCTTCAGCGGCAGACAAGATTCTACGAACAAGGGCTTATTGCGTGGGCATGACTAGGGCTCCGACCCGGACCAGTTTTGTTGGGTCGACCCAGTGTTTGACCCGGCTGGTCCGGGTCATGGGTCGAGGGTCGACCCGGACCAGGACCCAATGGTCCCTTTTAAAAAATATAATGTTTATTATAAAAATGTGATTTTTTCATGATAATTTATGATGCTGCATCTGGGTCTGAGTCCCGTTTCCAGTCATTTTCTTCCACTTAGAGATCGGGCATGATAGAGGCTCCAAATACTATTGGCTGATAAATTTCTAAATAGGGATTCTAACAAGTAAAAAAAATCTGTAGTCATGGATTTCGAAGTGATGCAATCGGATTCTGCATCGTCGGTTGCGTCCGCCGACAGTGTCAGCCAGGAAACAGAGGTTGATTCCAGGTCCAGTGGTGTTAAGAAGACAAGCTGGGTGTGGACTTATTTTAAAAGACTTAAAGAAGAAAAAAAAAGCTGTTTGTCAAGTCCCAAAGCATCGCGGCGGGTCTGCACTCTGTGGGGCAGCGTATGTGTGTACAGCTAGCAGCGGAACCAAGAACTTGGCCAAGCACTTGATGAGCAAGCATCAGATACACGAAAAGGAAACCGCAACAAGGTGCATTGCGTGCATTTCTGAAATCGGGCAACCCGAAGGTGTGTGCAATGATGTATAAAAAAACGTTTAGTTTCGCTATAGTATTAACTTGTTGTTTAGTTACAAAACCCTCAACTGAACAGACAGACATTAAAGACGGCGTTAACCAATCTTATTATAGAGCATTCTTTGCCGTATCAGTTTGTGGAATATAGGAAATTACGCGAGCTTCTTGAGCTATGCAATCCTGCAGCAAGTTCTCTAATAACGTCCGCAGATACGATCCGACATGATGTTTTGGAAATATTTTACAAGTGTACGTGTGCGATATAATATTTCTTTTAACTTAGCCACTAACGTGGATATTTGCAGGGTGTAATCAGTTGAAGATGTCATTGGAGAATTTGAACACCAAAGTGAACATCACTTTTGATTGCTGGACTTCTCCAAATCACATTTCGATCATGGGGGTCACCGCTCATTATATTGATAAGAACTGGAAGCTATGGAATCTTGTTGTTGCTGCGGTGGAGATTGAAGGAGACCACAGTGGGCAGAACCTTGAACATCATCTGTTTGAAGTTTTAGAGAAGTTCAATATATTGAACAAGCTCTTTTGCATTACAGGTGACAATGCTTCGACGAGCGGCACAATTGCAATGTGTTCGGAGCAACGACGTATTATTCCTGGATTTACCAGGAGTGACAATATGCTTGGCTGTATGGCGCATGTTATCAATCTGATAGCAAATGCTGGTATTAAGCTACTTGGAGCTTTTGATCAGCAACCCAATCAGAACATTGTTGAGATCATCAACCCAATGTCCGTCGATGCGCTACTTCTGGATCGAGATATTGAAATCGAAAAAGGTTAACCTCCATATATATTGTTGCGATTTTTTGAGCTAATATGGTAATTGTCTAAATGTTTTGGACAGCGGGTACGATTGTTCGTAGAGTTCGTGACTTCACGAAATATATCAACGGCTCGCCACAGCGACTGCAAAACTTTAGAAAACTTGCGGATGTAGTCGCAGCAGATGTTACTGCGAAGAAGCTGGTACAAGATGTGTCAACGCGGTGGAATTCGACTTGGGCAATGTTGAATCGTGCAGTTTTACTTCGCAAGGTCATTGGAGCCTACATAGACAGCGGCTCCGAGCTTCGGAAGTATGCGCTTGAAGAACATGAATGGGCTCTTGTGCACGAAGTTATTAAGCTGCTTGAACCGTTAGAAGAGGTATTTACCAAATTTATTGCCGGGGACTCATGTGTTAACATTTTGTTTTATTCTATTTTTGCTTTTTTTAGGCTACGGTGTTGTTGTCATCTGCAAAGTATCCCTCTATTATGGCAGCTGCAACAGTATAATCCATGCTATTGGAGAGCATTCAAGCGACTCTTCGTTCATATGAAGGTGCAGTTCTTGAATCATCGATCCGGGCTATGGTGAAGAAGTTGCAGGCATACAAGGAAAAAGCTGATGGTCAGTACGTATACAAGCTTGCAACAGTCTTGGATCCTCGGATCAAGTTAATTTTTTTTAAAGATTCTAACGAGGACATATGGGAGATACGCGATCAGCTGTTGCACAGAGCCAAAGTGTACAATGCGCATGAGCAGCACCAAGCAACCACAGCGAGCTCGGAAGAGAGCAACTCGAACTCTTACGCTAGTCGACTCTACAAAAAGCGTAAGACACATGATCTCGATGACGAGATTGACCGTTATTTAAATGGTGAAGTGGAAGATTCCGACATGGATCCATTGCTTTGGTGGAGATCAAAAGCCTCGACGTTTCCAAGCTTGAAGGAAATGGCACGGGCATACTTGTCTATTCCGGCAACCAGTGTACCAAGTTAAAGACTCTTTTCTACGGGAAGGAGAATTATTACTGACTCCCGCGGATCATTGAGTGCTATCAATTCAGAAGCACTCATGTGTTTGGAAAATTGGATCAAGAACAATTTTATTGGTTTGTAAATGTAAATCAATATGCTGACAACGGCCGGAATGGAACGAGAAGAACGAAGAGTTTCATACGGATTCAGTACAGGTAGACAGAATGTTGATGACACGATCACTGCTAATGACCACGATCAAATATACTTTATGCTCTAATTATTTTGTTTGACTACTGTAGCAAGTTTATCAGATCGTACAGAGCATCCACTGACCTCATCTAACTCTGAACAGGAATTGAACTTGTCTACTTGACAGAAACACGTTCTACACTCACCAACGAATTTTGCAGCTCTGTTGCAATTTAATAGAGTGTGTGAGATAAGATGTCATGATCGTCTATTACATCGTTAGAAACAGATATGTGAATTTTTCTTTACCAGCGGTGAAGCATCTGTAGCGTCGCGAGCCGTATGTTGCCCTTAATGGAGAGTGCGAGGTGCTCGATGAGTTTACAACTCCGAGTATCTAAGCCCTTACGATTCTATGTTTTAAGGGCTCTCAGCTCTCTAATCAATATCAATATAGAAAGTTAACAGATTTATTTATGTGAGCGTCCACCCGGGCACGACCGCACGCGTGGCCATGATTCGGTGAGCACGAGACGACAAGGCAACGCGCGAAAAGAAAATAGACTTATTGAATAGTGATGAAGGACCCTGATGTATCCACACTCGTGGCCCAGCGGCTAGAATTCTGGCGCCGTAGCATGCGTAAGGCTCTGGACAGCAAAACCAGACGTTAGTTATCTTCAATCAGCACTTCATCGGCAATGTAGATCTCATTTTTGCTGATACGTGGCCCACCGGCTTGTATCTTCAACGCCGACGCATACGTAAGGCTCTGGACAGCAAGCCAGACGTTACACCTCTCTCCTCCTCTTAGATTAGTCCGCCCTTAGTGATGTTGGTCCCCTTCCGATGCTTGCGCGGTCCACCAGCTTGTATCTGCATTAATGAAGCATACGAAAGTCTCTAAACAGCAAATTAGACGTTGCATCTCTTACAGTAGCCCTCGATCAGCAATATTACTCCACTTACTGATTCTTGCGCGTCCCACCGGCTTGTATCTACATCTTCATCCCTCTAGCAAACGCGAGTCGCGGATGAACGAAAAGCAGCCGCCGTATTTCTTTCTTGGCATCCACAGCACGATCTACAGACGCACGCGCAGCGTGTCCAAGCCCAAGGCAACGCCTCACCTTGGCTGTCGCTAGAAAGGATTAGCTTGAGCTCAAATGTGAATGTTTGGAAATCCAATAAAATGATGTGGTACACACATAAGTTTTAGACCAGGGCGACCCAATGGGTCGCCCTGGACCAGCTGGTCCGGGTTCTGGGTTGGGGTCAGACCCGGATCAATGGCCATGGGTCGGAGCCCTAGGCATGACTAGAAGGTGTGGTTTATCGTGCCCTTCATCCCGTGACAGCATTGGAGTTTGTGACAACCAAGTCAATCTCTCCCAGTATAATGAAAGTTCAGTAGCCATTTTGCCACCCGATACCCGACCAAGCCTAGTACTTCGTGAGCTCGTTGCGTGCGCCCAATTATCGGGGGTTACCGGTTTGATGCTGCAGATTGCCATACACCCCCACGCATGCGGTCTGGGCTTCAACAGAGTCGTACGCAGCGCACCTCTCTGCCCTTTATGTCTTAAAATGTGTGCGTTTTATCTCTATCTGGACGTGATGCTCTTCAAGGTATTTGGTACGCTCTGGAGGGATCCGCGGATCAGCGGATGCGCATAAAATAGAAGGCCTTTCGCATTCTGGCTCTACCACAGCGTCTGACGATCTGTCACTGTCTACTGATCCTCCGAGCCGACCTCTGGGGAGATTGTACAAAACTTAGGTGTTTGCGGGCAAGGCTATAACGTGCTTTAAATTTTGCTATTCCGTAATGCAAATGCCGTCGAGCGTTTTACAAACAGCTGATCAGCTTAAAAGTTAAATTTTATCTAAATTATGATATGTGTAAAAGTCAGAGGTGTGAAGATCAAAGAGCTTCCATTGACAGGATATATTTCCCTTTATGTCACCCTTTACATTAGCTTTATGTGACTCGCTTGGTGTAGCTGACCACACTACATTCATTTGTTATCGTCCTTTGGTATAAAATGCTGATAAACGGCATAGGCAGTGCGCGCGCTGACCACACTACATTCATTTGTTATCGTCCTTTGGCATAAAATGCTGATAAACGGTACAGGCAGTGCGCGCGCTGACCTAAAATATGCTGAACAAGGCGACATTCCCGTTTACACTGGAACTATTGACCAGCAAATACAAGTGTCTACTGACGGCGATGCTTTAATTTTTACTTTAAAAATTCTTATCCTCTAAATTTTTATCAAATAATTTTTTATTGATATTTACATCTGTCTATTTTTGTCATTGTTTAAAAAAAATAATGAATTCTTGACGTAATTTAAAAGCGATAGAATAAACCTCTAAAAACTATTAAACTACAATAAAAAAAGAAGCACCATTTGCATGCACACTGCAAATTAATGACCCAACATGCAAGTTCCGACTACGCGTTGGCGTACTCCTTCATAAATTTATCATACACCGGATCTTTAGAAAAGCTGCCGAGCACGATCGAGACGTGTTATACTGGTAGCACGTGAGGAAGAAGTGGATGAAAAGATTTTGTCTTGTTCGTCCTCTCTTCCTACTTCCTCACCTGTCGCTTGCTACCTGTTCACCTGGACCTACGTAGATGCGTCAAGTCGCTATCTGTCTCGTCGTACCAGTCGTCGCCAGTGGGTGAGCGCGTCGGGTTCGCGTCCGTCAGTCCATTCGCGCGCAGCAAGTCACCGATCGCCTCCTCCCGATAACGGCGATAGGATCCGATCGCGCCAAGCTCGATTCCCATCCCGAGGAACTTGCTCACGTGTCCGAGGCCCTTGATCGAAAATGACTTGAGCTCGACGAATGAACCTTCGACTGCGTTGGCGGTTGTTCCGGTTGCAAGTAAGGCATCGACATGGACGCAAATGATAACGAGGTCGGTGCTGTCGCTCTTTTAATAGAGGCATTTGTCGCTCCCACAGCGCAAGAGCCCGCTTCGGTAAGCTTGACGTAAGTAGCTGACTCCAGATCCTGCCAGCTTGCTCCAACCCGTATTGTCTCTTGCGAAGCTCCAGGACCAGCTCATCTCCGCTCGTCACATCGTAACCTTGCAGTATCTTCGTCTACACCGCCATCCTGCGCGGCATACGTAGGTGGTTGTCGAGAGGAGCTTCTTTATTGGCTTTGGCGTACGCTTAAGGGATGCCGCCGTGCTTGACAGGCACCCCCACGTGGCCGCGAGCGCGAGGATGACCTTGACAGTCAACAAGTCCATTACTGCCGCAAACGTCAAGCTGTTGTCGATACCAAAGATTTGCTCGTTGCTGCAAGCAACTAGCCAAGCCATGTGCCGCTCCAGGATCTCTTAGGCGTCCTTCTTCGTCTTGTACACCCACTTGGTGTGTAGCGCGTTCATGGCCGACGCGCGTGACGCGCCAGACGTTATTGTCCTGCAACGCGGCTCCTTCTTCCACCATCACGCGCTCCCATTCGCGCCGCTTTGCGCTTTCCATTGCCTCGATGTAGATTGTCGGATCGCTCTCGTATGCTAAGTCCACTACCTCTTCGCTGGATTGCGGCTCCTCTTGTTGTGCTGTTGCTTGCACACGATTTGAAGCTCCGCGCGTCCGTGCGCTTGTCGCGTCCACGGCTTCTAGCTCTTTGTCCGAGCCGTATTATCACCACTGCCGCGCGTCGCTGCTGCTGCTTCAAACTCGGCCTCTGCTTAATCTGTCGAGGATCTCGCTAATATGCCACCCACCTCTCCGTCTCCTTTGTCGGTCATCGCGCGCTGCAGCTGCATGTTTTGCTTGTCTGTGAGCTTGTCGATCCCTTTTATGTATTTTATCACGATCATTTTGCTCTCCTTGCGCAGAAAGACTTTGTAGTCTTTTTATTTCTCCGCGATGCCGATAATGGTGCCTATCTGCGAGCGCTGTTGCAACGAGTCTTTGCCAGGGTCGCAGTACACATGAAAGTGCGATCCAAACACCACTATCTTCCGCAGGTCCGGTGCCACGCCAGTGAGTATTTCGAGCAGTGACGCTCGCTTCTCATTCTCTCGCGACAGACTTCTTCTGATAACGTAGACAGCGTAGAGGACGGCGTCACCCCAAAAGTTTCGTGGCAGCACGCACGCAAACATAATGATGCGTGCTAGGATGAGGATCGTCCGATGCATTCGTTTAGCCTTGCCGTTCGACGCCTGGTTGCGGGCTTCCGAGATCTGTCTGGCTACGCTCGTGCGATTGCAAAACAAGTCGATATTAGCGTATTCGCCGCCGTCAGTGCGCAGCAGATGAATGCGGAAGCCGAAGCGCTTCTCAAAGTGCACGAGTAAGGCCTCAAGTTGCTTTGATGCCGTGTCCTTCAACCTCGCGAGGGATATGCGGCAGTAATTGAACTTGTGGTCCACAAAGTTTAACAACTAGCGGTTCTGTAGCCGATCCTGCGGCGTCATTGGAACTTTCAATTCCGAGCAGATGACGCCTCCAATATAATCGATCGGCGAGTTTGTGCCTCTGTCCTGCTGCTGCTGCGCGTTTCGCGTCTGCTTTACGTTCATAAATGATACTCACGCTGCGCGCCTTTTGCTAGTGAGCCGTATACTCGATGGTGTCTCTTTTTCCGTGCGCTCGATCGTGTCGTACGCGAGATGGCCGAAGCGCTGGTGAGAGTGCAGCAGACGTCCTTCTTGCACATCGCCCGCAACGTCGGTCGCGTCGTGGGACTCGAGCGTCGCCATAATGGCGCCATGCGCGCCAATCTGGTGTGTCGAGGACGTTGTTCATACGAAGAGCACGTTGCTCTCCATCGCTGTGATAAAGCGATCGAGCTGCCGCTGCGTCGAGTCAACTTGCGATGTTCTCCGTCGTAAGCGACTTGCCGGATGACACGATGTTCTTATCCAGACGCGAGGCCAGAAAGACCCCCGTGAGTCGCACGGTCGTCGTGACGCCGTCTGCCAACACTATCAGCCTCACACTGTCGCATCTCGTTAGCTGCGAAAACTCGCCGTCTGTCGTGGCGATCTCATCGCTGCACGTGTTGAATCAAAGAGCAGATTCTAGTCGCTGTCGAGGATCCAGTCATCTCGATCACCCGCGTACACGTCACCGTCCGCTAAGACAATCTGGGCCTTCTTCTTTCCGCAGCGCCACCTTCTTGTGCGCGCATGCCTCTTCGTCAGAGCGAGCGGCCCATCCCCACTCCCAGCACCGCCATTCGTCGTCTCAGTCAATGCGAGGAGCATGTCACCGCTCCCAGCATTAGAACTTGGCTTCTCTCTGTCACCGGTGACCTTCGATGGGCAGAAACGCTGCACATGCCTTACCTTTCCGCAGGTGCAGCACGTCCGCGTGTCTCTCGTCGCGTCGACGTTGGCCGTAATCACCTCGCATCCAACTGCGCCGCTGCCGAGCTCGATGGACTGCGCAAAGTGCGAAAGCTCCTCTGCTTGACGCAGGAAGTCGACCAGACGGGGGTCGTACTTTGCTCTCACCACGTTCGTCAGGTCCGGAGCCGCGTGATGCACAAATTTGTCGAGGATGAGTGAGTCCGCGTCGCCATGCGCGTCGCCAACTCCGACCATGTAGAGGTGGCGCTCGGCTCAGGTGCGTCGCGCTACTTTCTTTTCCAGGAACAGCTTTATCGCCTGACCCGCCATGATCGTTGTCTTAACGGTCAAGAGGAGTTATCCCATCATGTGCTCAAGCTTCGGCCGCTGTGTCCACCAGGAATCGACCTGAGTGTGGTAACAGCGCTCCGCCATGTTGGAAAGAAAATTCCCGAGCAAGTAAACTCTAACATTCTTCGTCCACGCGAACCCGCAAGACACTTCCGCCAAGCTCACTGTGCGCAAGAAGGTGCGTCTCCTATTAAAGAAACCGCTGCCGAGCCCTTTGTACATCCCACTCCCATCTAAAATCCTGATGTTGAGCGTGCGCTGCAATGCATTTGACATCCTGTAGCCATTGAGGTCTGGGCGCGCGTACGCCTGCGGTGGAGCGACCTGTTGAGGCGGCGGTCGAACTGCGTACATCGTCGCGCGACGCTGCGGATGCGGCGTCTCAAGAGACGCTAAGCGCGATGCACCGAGTGCCGCTGTGCGCTGGTACGCGCGCAAAGTCGAGTTTTCTCTTCCGCATCCCTTAGCGCGTCGATCGTTATCAGCCGGCTGCGCATATTTGCACCGAGCTTCGAAGCGAAGATGCCGCTCTCCACATCTTTGATCATCCACTCATTCTCGTAGCGTACCTTCTGTGACGACTCGAGACTCGCCAGGCGGCTAATGACATCGTCAAGCGCTGCGGTGATAATTAATCGGTATTTCCACGCCTTTCTTGAGCGGGCGGTATAATAACAACTGCGTAAGCGTGCGCTACTGCGGGTCCACGCGCTGATGATAAAAGCCCTGGCGTCGCTCGCGCTACACCTCCTGGTGTCTTCGCTATTGTGTCCGTGGCTCTTGCCATTGAGTTCATAACCTGTTAATCTGGTAGAACGTGAGGAAGAAGTGGATGATAATATTCTGTCTTGTTCGTCCTCGCTTCCTACTTCCTCACCTGTCGCTGGCTACCTTTTCATTTGAACCAGTCAATCTAAACTATTGGCTGTCAACCAAATCGCTCGCTGAATACATGCACTGGCTATCTGCAGCTGTCCGAAAACCTCATAATCTGGCGCTAGTCGTAAACTCATGCCTCTCAAACACCTATTACTGCCACCCCTGGAAAGGCAGCATTTCCCACAAGACGAGGATCAAAAGGAAATAGCGCTGTGGAGTGACGTCAAATAGCCACCGGTAACGGTCAGGGATGGCAGCAGCAGCCTGGTTGCACCCAGAAATGAGCAAGCACATGACGTTAATGAGAATGCCCACAACGGCAGCGACTTCGCGACTGGACAGCAAGTAGACGAGAAGATGGCACAGGAGCGTCTGTATGAGCACGGAGAAGGAGATGTGGGCCAGTAGAGCCCAGCCGTTCTGAAGGACCAGATGCCGAGGAGAGGGAAGAAGACAGTAAGGAAGAGAAGAGATGCTGCCAAAGACGTAGAGGATCTCGACGAACGTGATGCCAAGAACATCTTAGAGAGTGTTGTACGTTTGAGCGTTGCACTCGCATTAGTAGACGGCTCGTTTCCACAGGGTGAAGGACAGACAAGCTACTTACGTCACATATCCTTGCTACAGTGTTGTCATAGAATGATATCGACGGCCAAATTCAGCCCTTGGTACGATTTGTAGTCGGCGTTGACGAGGACGAGGTTGAAGATGATGGCCAGGATAAGCGTGATCCAACACCGAGTCAAGTTGTACGACGATGTTCGCCAGTACATGATCTAGAATTGCTGCATGATCGATTGGAGCTGTATCCAGAAAGTAGCAGATCGTTTGTGCTGAATACTAGCTTCTGTAGCTATCGCGTGCAGTTGTCGTCACACCAGGTTCAGCTAGACGAGTCATCAACACTTGGTGCTTCAGAGATAAAATTGGACATTGGTAATCTTTCAGTTGGAGATGTTTAACCCGTCCCCGTGGCTCAGCACTAAATCCAGGTAATGAGGCTTTTCAATCTCCGCACCTCTGACCTTCTTTATGTAGCATAATAAGATTATATTAAACTATTGAGCTAATCAGCTGTTCGTAAAACGTTTAACGGAGTTTGCAGTACGAAGTAGCCAGATTCAAGTATGAAATAGCCTCGCCCGTTCTTTTCTCGAGACAAACCTTAGGCTTTCGCTTTTACACACGTGATTTACACCGGCTATCTTTCAATGTTCATTTTTACAATGTCGACAGTGGTCAAGCGAGCGGACATTTTCTTGAGCGTCAACATTTGAAATTTGTTTAAAGGAGCACCTGTGGCTCCATCTTTATACGTGGTTAGCTGTGAGAAAAGAGGTTTAACAATGTCCAAAGTTTTAATACGTCAACACCGGCTAAACAAACGGTCAGCAAAAGCCCTTCAGTACTACTCGACATCCATAAACAACTTAAATCATGATCGCGTCACTCCTTTTCTTTAATATTGCGCCTCCCAAAGGTGCACATCTCGATTGTAGACATTCTGATGTTGTAAATTATGTAACTCCTGCCGCCACCGCTCCGTTATAAAAACAGGGCGAATATCATGATCGGACTTTTTTGCAGTAAAAAAAGGCCGTAGCTGCTGTGAAACACTAAGCATTACGTCAAGGCTGCAATCGAATCGGGACCAAGCGCGTCGTAGTGATGCTACTTAGCGCTCCTTAACAGTGGAAATCTTGGACTCAAAGAATATTTTAGTTATAACAAAACAACAACGACAAACAGTCGTTCGAATGTACAAGCTTAATAATTTCGGCTCCAAAGGGATTACAATTCACAGAATCACACTAACTAGTCACTACTAGCTAAACAAGAGTAAACGCCTTCACAAGTCTAACACTCTTGCAACACGCTATGCCTTGACTAGGCACTAGAGTCCAACGATTCAAAAGGGGAACTGAACTTAATTTATTCCGTAGCTACGGTGATGTAACTCTAAAACCTTGCCTGACTGACTTCTACATACGATCTAATGACAGAAGTCTGATCCCTTATCCTAACTAGATAAATTGCATTATTACCGTAAGTACGTGTTACCAAGACTGTACCACTCAGATCCACCGATCTTTACTTGGTGTGGACACACAACATAAACGGTTTAAACAACCGTGTGTAACCTGGTTAGTCGATTTGCTTTTGCTGCATACAGGGAAAGCACTTCAAGAAATTTTACGGGCACCAAATGGCATTAAATGACCGCGGTACGAAAAAGGTAAATTGCTTGCATGAGATCGTAATAATATAAAACATGCATAATTCAGACGAAACTGCTTGGTCGACATGACAGGTTGGCTGGCAGAGGAACCGATCAGGCCAGAAAAGCTTTTTGAAAGGCAACTCGGGATGTGTGGTAAGATTGAGAATGAATTGAATGCTAGCGATAGCACGTGGCGTTCTTCAGTTAATCTAGACTGCTACTCTGTGTGTCGTGAGCGCTCGGTGTGTACTACGTACCATGCGCGTGGGTTCATACTGGCTGATTCTGGTCGGTTTGGTAATAATGTGCAATGAGCTGACAACTGGTCTGAACAGGTTGACGTTGAGACGACGTATCAGTCATGTCAGAAAAATACTGTGAGCGACTGCCACAACGGCCATCTCCAATGCATCGACATAATTATGTTTTCTGCCTTGCCGGTTACGATTCGTGCAACAAGAGAAGAGGAAGGAATCGAAGATATGGTCCTTCAAATGCATAGAGATGGAACCGCTCACGGGTATGTGACAATTTCCTATTTGCATGTCAGTAATTTATGCATTACGTATTTGGCACAGGTTTTGTCCATCAATTTTAGGATACGGAAGTTCTCATCAAACCAAGTGATGTGCACAATATCGTTCGTGAGGCAAATATGAAGGACTTAAGTAGAAAAATGTAAACATAGGCGTTAGTGGAGCACTTGAAGTTCCAAACAGTAATTGCTACAGTCGTGATGGACGACGAAAACTGAGTCCAGTATCTATTCTGGAAATCAGAGTTGTCGAAGTACTTTACCTTTCGTCATCATTGAGTTCAAGGTATAGATTGCACCTTCAAACCTCCCGCTCATGCATGTGGTAGGATAAACTTGTACTTACCAAACGTTTACTGCAGCTGAAGGGTTTATGGGGGGAGGAGTGTTCGTTGACTACGAATGGATAGTTAATCGAGTTCGACAAAATGCTTTCGTGGCACCCCAAAATTCTCATCGTCGATTGCGACATGGGCCTGATAAAAGGCTATCCAGAATAAATGGCCAAGCGCAGTCATCATCATGTATTGTTTCATATTGCGAATATAGTGGTAACTCGCTGCGAAAGAAATTTCGGGCGTCAACAAAAAACTGGAGAAAATTATAAGCCACTAGAACGATAGTATCCATGCTTCCACATGGGATCGATTATGGAGCTTTGGTAGCGGATACCAGCGATTGCATAAATGAAATTATCTTAAGACCTTGCAGTTTATTGATCTTGTTAAACTTCATTTGTATTTTACATGCTGATTTAGGACTACAGAACAGTAGCTCATCTGAATGGGAACAAGCACCGCTGCGTCAGCATTTGCCATCGTGCAGAATCGGTCAATTTATGTTCTTTTGGACGCAAAGTCACATCTCGAGTTGAAGGAACTCACCATTAGCACATCAATACTTGGTTTAAAGCGCGAGCGGATTACTTCTTGATGTATACGAAAGAATTTTCAAAAAGGGTTATAACAAATAACAAGAATATTAATAAACAGAAAATGGGGATCTGCACGAACCTTTCCAGCGAGACATTTTCCAAGCTTTACTAAAAGGTGTCAAGTCATTCTCTGGTCCTCCATAAGAAGCATTATTTGCTCGCTTAATCGGTTTAGTCTCAAGAACCGTTCAGAGCACTCCGCAAGAGTCCACGGTACCCTTGCGCGCGACATCATTAAAAACATTGATATAAGTCAACCCATAAAGTTGGCCTTTTGCGACAAATTCCAAGCTGGACTTTGAAAATAATACAAGTCACCTCGAGCCCGATGTTTTTGGCATCTTGCCGCCGGTCCGGATACAAAAGACGACAGTTTGCAAGAGGCCGCACCAGAAGTCGACCAAACGCTTATCGTGGGGCTTTGAGCGAACGGAGCGCCAGATCCGTTGCAATAATTGCATCCACTGTCATGGATCTGGTTCTGCTGCAATCGAGTCTACCGAATCTAGTGAGCCGTGATAATTCGTAAGCCCAGCAGACAAGCCGCCGCTGTCCCCGCTCTTCCGTGCATCCTTGACAGTGCCTTTTGGGTAGCAAGACTCGTATGTTCAGTAATTGCAGCCTATTTAACCCATGTTTCATTTCTTACCAATGCAGGTTTGCCGGCATGGCGCCGTCCTATCCGCGCGTCGCCGCACCCACTGCTTTCCCCACGACATTGCCCCTCGCTATGCAGCACCTCGCTCCGCTATAACTCGGTTTGCAGTACCTCGCTCCGCTACAACTCGCTCCGCTGTCGTTCGCGTTGTCAACCAAGCCGATTCGTT